ATGGAACAACTGATTGGTTCAAAATTGGGAAAGGAGTACGGCAAGGCTGTATATTGTCCCCCAGCTTATTTAACTTATATGCAGAATACATCATGTGGAAGGCTGGACTGGAAGAAACCCAAGCCGGAATTAAGATTGCCGGAAGAAATATCAACAACCTCCGATATGCAGATGATACCACTCTGATGGCAGAAAGTGAGGAGGAATTAAAGAACCTTGTAATGAGAGTGAAAGAGGAGAGTGCAAAAAATGGTCTGAAACTCAACATCAAAAAAACTAAGATCATGGCCACTGGTCCCATCACCTCCTGGGAAATAGAAGGGGAAGATATGGAGGCAGTGTCAAATTTTATCTTCCTGGGCTCCATGATTACTTCAGATGGAGACAGCAGCCCTGAAATTAAAAGGCGCCTTCTTCTTGGGAGGAAAGCGATGACAAATCTTGACAGCATCTTGAAAAGCAGAGACATCACCTTGCCAACAAAAGTCCGAATAGTCAAAGCTATGGTTTTTCCTGTTGTGATGTATGGAAGTGAGAGCTGGACCATAAAGAAAGCAGACCGCCGAAGAATTGATGCCTTTGAATTGTGGTGCTGGAGGAGGCTCTTGAGAATCCCCTGGACTGCAATGAGAACAAACCTATCAGTTCTAAAGGAAATCAACCCTGAATGCTCACTTGAAGGACAGATTCTGAAGCTGAGGCTCCAGTACTTTGGCCATCTCATGAGAAGAAAAGAGTCCTTGGAAAAAACCTTGATGTTAGGAAGGTGTGATGGCAAGAGGAGAAGGGGACGACCGAGGATGAGATGGCTGGACAGTGTCTGCGAAGCAACCAACATGAACCTGACACAACTCCGGGAGGCAGTAGAAGACAGGAGGGCCTGGCGTGCTCTGGTCCATGGGGTCACGAAGAGTCGGACACGACTAAACGACTAAACACACACAGCATCAGAAATACTATCCAAATGAACAACCGTTTTCCATTATTTGAAATACCGTTTCAAATACCATTTTGGTTGGACAGATACAGTGGTGCCTCGACTTATCAACATCCCAACTTACGACCATTTCGAGTTACGACCAGCTCCAGCCGCAAAATTTTGTTTTGTGGCTGGAGCTTCCAGTTATGAACAGAAAAAGGCAGGGGGGAATCGAAGAGGCTGCTTCTTTGCAGCTCTTTTGCCCCAAGGGTTAGAGGAGGCTTCGGACTGCCTGGTAAGGTAAGGTGCTGCTTTCTGCTTTCTAAAAACTGTTCTGGGTGGGTCTTTCAGTGTGGTTTTGGGCTAGGTGGTGGGATTATGTTTCTATGCTGTGATGGGTCTTGCAGGTTTGTTTGTTTTTTAGTGTTTTTTCTCCATTTCCGATGGGTCTTGGGGGGTTTGTTTGTTTTTTTGGGGGGTTTTCCCCCATTTCCGATGGGTCTTGCAGGGTTTGCTTGCTTTTTGCTTTGCTTTTTTCATTTCTGATGGGTCGTGCACACTTTGCTTGCTTTCTGCTTTGCTTTTTTTATATTTCCTATGGGTCTTGCACACTTTGCTTGCTTTTCTCTCCCTCCCCCCCTTCGGCCGGAACGGATTAATCGTGTTTCCGATGGGTCTTGCAGTGTTTTGTTTGTTGGTAATTTTTTTCTTCAGCCGGAACAAATTAATTGCATTTCAATGCATTCCTATGGGAAATAGTGCTTCGACTTACGACCATTTCGAGTTAGAACCGGAGTTCCGGAACCAATTAAATTAAGCTGAGGCACCACTGTATTTAATTTTTTCAGTCTCAGAAAAATGAAAGGTAATTAGGTAAAAACTCATGGAAGAAATAAACAAGTCATGAAACTGTATTCACAAAGGCTTTCACGGCCGGGATCTAATAGTTGTTGTGGTTTTTTCGGGCTCTTTGGCCGTTTTCTGAAGGTTGTTTCGCCAATCGCTGTGCCCGGCATCTTCAGAGGACAGTAAGTCATGAAACTATCACAAGGCCTAGAGATTATTAAAGTAGATTAACAACGACCCAATTAAAGGCGTTAGTTAGGCAAACATTTCAGCAAACCAAATAGCTCATCACCTACTATCAGTGGCAGATTTGAACACTGTCAAAGCAAACTATAACTTTTTCTGGCTCCTATATTGTTTAACAAGAAACAAGCAGTTGGAGAACAATGACCATGTATAAGACCATTCAGGTTAAGCAAATTGAAAAATGTTACCTGTGCAAAAATGTCAAAGCAACTGGGCTGGATGACATCTGCTTCAAACAAATAAAACTTTCTGATACAGAAACAGAAATGTGGTTCCTTAATTTCTTTCACAATTAATTTCTTTAACAATCTTGACTCTCTTAGAATTCTGAAAACTGGGACAAAGGCACAAGTAATTGCTATATTGAAATCTAGTAAAGAACCCAGAGACTAAAAAACGTCAGCCCCGTCTCTCTATTTTGTCCTCTTTAGACGGTCCTGGCCAATTTGCAATCCTCCAAAGGAAGCAGTGGAACCACTCCTCAACCCACAACAGGCCAGTTTTTAGACCTGGAAACAACAGTAGAGCACAAATCCTACATTTAGCTTCTAGGACAAGCATCAAGTACTACGGCACAGATTCTATAATCTAAAGTTTTATTTATGCTGATGATCACAAACCTGCTACTCGCTCGGAAAACCTTCAGATGGCAGAAGGTCTTCTGACAGTTAAGAAGAATGCAACACCCACTATTATAGAACTAAACTTAAAGCCAACCAAGACTCATATATGAGCTTTCCATCTTTAAAAAAACAATAGGCATCTGGGAACGTCAGGTTATGCAGAAGGGCATTCAAATAGATGTATCATATCTGATACACAGTGGTGCCTCGCTTAACAAGCGCACCGTAGAACAACGAATCCGCATAGCGAGGGGTTTTTTCCGATCGCAATTGCAATCGCAAAGCGATGGCCCCAATGGGCGAAACTCGCACAGCGAAGGTTGGTAAGCGTTTCGCTTACCGACTTTCGCTTTGCGACCCGCGAATCAGCTGTTCGGCGGCTCCAAAATGGCCGCAGGAAGCCCCGAAGTGGCCGCGTGCAGCGTTTTCGCGCCCTCGGTAAGTGAGGGAAGGGCGCGAAAATGGCTCCCGGCCATAGGAAAACATCGCTGAACTGTGAGTTTTCGGCCCATTTGGGGCCGTTCCAATGGGGTTTCTTGATCCGTTCAGCGATGTTTTCACATAGTGAGGGTTAATCCGGAACGGATTAACCTCGCTACGCGAGGCACCACTGTATTTATTAACTGTGCGGCGCAGCATCTGACATGAGCAATTAAACACTTTGGTTTCCCAGCTTTTGAACACCCTTTGCTGTTTTTAAAGGCTGAAACGTCTCTCCCAGGGTGTAGCTGCTGGCAGCTAGAGTGTATTTTGATAATTTTATTGGCAGCTAGAGTGTATTTTGCCTTCAGATCCCACCTCCCACTGGAATGTGCCCCCTGCCCCCTGTGGAAATTCTCTAAAACTGAATCCAGCCCTTTGTCCAAAAGAAGTTCACCATCCTTGGCAAGAGGCACTGGAGGGAACAATCCAAGTTGATACAGACGTGGGAAGCCGAAAGACCCCTTACCTTGAAGCGGCTTGTAAAGAGTTCCATCCGGGATGCCGTTTCCTGGCTGCAATAGAGTCCATGCAGAGCCAGCAAGCACTTGAGCCGAACCTCCCCCTGCTGCGAGATGAACAAGGCATTCAGAAAACAAGTGTCTCCCAATCAGTCACCTCTCCTCCCCATTCCCACAGGAACAGCATGATTGCCCAAGGAACTGGAAATTCCCTCAGGAGAACATCACAGAGCAGCCTGGGAATGTCACTGACTCACAGACAGGAAAGGAAACCGCTTTGGATCAGCAAACACTCACTTCCACATCACAAATTACTACAGCCAGTGACCTATGTCTAAAATATTCCATGTTACATCTATTTCTTCTCTCTGAAATGCATGACTTAATGTGTTGAGGGTATCTAAGTGTGTCAGGGAAACTCACAGCAAGGCTGTCAGTGGAACTCCTTGCCACAGGATGTGATGATGGCATCTGGCCTAGACGCCTTTAAAAGGGGATGGGACAGATTCCTGGAGACCACTGCAGGTTACAAGCCATGATGGGGATGTATCATCTCCAGCCTTAAAAGGAAGGGACCTCCAAATGCCAGATGCAGGGGAAGGCGGATCAGGAGACATGGATCTCGTTGTCTTGTGTGTTTCCAGAAGCATCTGGTGGAACCCCTGTGAGATACAGGAAGCTGGACTGGGGGGCCCTTGGCCTGATCCAGTAGGGCTCTTCTGATGTTCCCACTCCATTACAATCCTAGACCCTTGGCAAGGTCACCCAAGCTCAAAGCTGAGACACCAGACTAAGAAGGAACCACTCACTTCAGGATTAATATTCACATTAGCAGATGAGAATGTCAATGGTGATGAATGTGAAGAAACTCCTGGAGAGTAACTACTGAGCAGCAACATTAGTAGAAAGTGGCACTGGTAGAGGATCTTTCAGACAGTGGCAGTGACACTCAAGCTAACTCTTGTTAGTACTGCATTGAAGGTGCAATGGTAAACCTCTGCTGAACTTTCCTTACCGTGAAATTTTTTTTAATTTTTTTATTAGTATCATATTCTGCCCATCTAGTGGTGAACCACTACTCTGGGCGGCTAATAGAGGAACATATAGAATAACATTGAATGTAATAAAATGTAAAGATAAAATAACAAATTAAACATCATAAACATAAACTAGTATCATATAACAGACCCACTTCAGATGGCGATAATAGATCAACTAAAATTTACACAAAATGGCCTGAATGTTTTTCAAATGGGAAGAATGGACCTGAACATCTATGGTGACTACAAAGTAACACTGGGAAACAAAGCAGCATCTACGGTTATTGGAGAATAAGGCCTGGGATCAAAAATCAAGGAGAACAACTCATAGAATTTAATGCAAAAATGAAAGAAAAGTAAAATATAAAGACAACTGCTATATTTTAATAGAAAAGGGGACTTCTTTCATAGAGAAGGGGACATGGTGGCGCTGAAGGTTAAACCGCAGAAGCCTCTGTCTTGTGAGGTCATAAGACCAGCAGTCGTAAGATCGAATCCACGGGGCAGAGTGAGCTCCCATTGCTTGTCCCAGCTCCTGCCAACCTAGCAGTTTGAAAGCATGTAAAAATACGAGTAAATAGGCACCACCATGGTGGGAACATAACGGCGTTCCGTGACCAGTCATGCTGGCCACGTGACCACAGAAACTGTCTTCAGACAAACGCTGGCTCTATGGCTTGGAAATGGGGCTGAGCACTGTGCTCTACAGTCAGACACGACTAGACTAAATGTCAAGGGGAACCTTTACCTTTCATAGAGAAGTCCACTTCCTCAGGGGTCTGTCCATTAAAGCTCACATAAAAATACAGTAGGACTGTGGTATTTTTAAAGGCAGGGTACTAAACAAGGTTGCCTTGCTTTTCCCAATATTGCAGATGATACATTATTAACTACAGAAGACCCACCAAAGGCTATGAATTGGGTGAAGATGCAGTTAAAAGGATTTGAGGAAGTAACACGTTTGAGTGCAAATCAGAGATTATGTTATTTAATTGTGATATAAAAGAAAAAGAGATGTTCAAGAAAAAAACTTGATCTTAAAAAAAATAGTTATTAAGGTAGTTAAAGGTTCCCCTTGACAAATGTCCAGTCATGTCCGACTCTAGGGGGCGGTGCTCATCCTCGTTTCCAAGCCGTAGAGCCAGCGTTTGTACTTGTTTAATTGTTTTTAATATTTGTATACCTACTGGCCTTAGTTTCTACATATTGTCTTTTTAATAATGTAAGGAGCCTCGGGTTCTTAAGGAGAAAGAATAAAATATTTTTTATGGGATAAAAATATTTTAAATGAATAAAGAAATAAAACGTATTTATTTTTTCAATTTCTATGCCACCTACCTGGCTACAAGGCCACTCTGGGCGGTTCACAACATAATACAACAAATAACACTTTAAATAAATTCATAATAACAGTACAAAGATCAAATTAAATACATCAATCAACTTAAACTAAGAAAAAGAAAAACAATGAAAAAGACTTTAAGAAGGAATCTGACAAATTGGAAGTTCAGATAGGGCAACAAGGATGATCAGGGGGATGGAACTCAAGCCCTAGAAGGAAAGACTCAAAGAACTGGTCATGTTTAGCCCTGACAAAAAAGACTTGACGGGACAGATGACACTACCCTTCAAATGGTTTCCAAGAAACATACTGGAAGAAATTCCAAAGTTCAAGTATTTGTCACTGGAGGTGAAGATCACCTGCACTGCCCAAAGTCTACTTCCAATTACTCTGTGTGGATATGAAAGTTGGACAGGGAAAAAATCTGGAAAAAGCTGAATGTTTGAAACATGGTGTTGGAGAAGAATTTCACAGATATCTAAGACCACTGGAAAGGCAAATAAATGGGATCTAGATCGAGGTGTCCAAGCTATGGCCTGCAGGCCACACCTGGTCTGCCTTGCCTTTTTATCTGTCCTGGGCATAGGAAGAGGAGGGAAGGGGGACCCAAGCAATCCCCCACCCCTGCTGTCTTTGCAAAGCAACCCCCCATCCCCACTAGGGTCCCCTTTCCCTCCTCCTCCTATGCCCAGGCGGAGATAGGAAGAGGAGCAAAGCCTCACAGAAGTGATCCCCCACCCCCGCCATCTTTGCAGCGGGGGTGGGGGATTGCTTGGGTCCCCTTTCCCATTCAGCCCTTGAAAATATCTATCATATGGCCCTCCTGAAAAGTTTGGAGACACCTGATCTAGATCAAATCAAGCCCGAACTCTCCTAGAAGCAAACACAATTAAGCTGTGGCTATTACCCTTTGCAAAGAGAAAGCTCACTGGAAAAGGCATGAAATCTGGGAAAAGCTGAGAGCAACAGGAAGACAGAAAGATGAGTGCTGTCCTCTGAAGATGCCGGCCACAGAGACTGGCGAAATGTTAGGAAGAACAACCTTCTGAACACGGCCAGAGCCTGAAAAACCCACAACAACTAGATGAAATCTTTGTTGCAGCTCAGAGAAGCATTTATCGCTAAGCGAAGTGATCTATAAAAATTGAAATAGATAGATAGATAGATAGATAGATAGATAGATAGAGAGAGAGAGAGAGAGAGAGAGAGAGAGAGAGAATAGATAGATAGGGGTGACCCAACAAAGGAAACCACAGCCTTGTGTCTGCAGCAGCTCAGCAAGGTTAACTTACAGCAGTTTAACAGGATTTCAGCCACCACCTCATAAGTTGGCAACAGAATTTATTATTCTATTTTGATTTCATAATGAGATACCGGAGCACTGTATTTTTAAATTTAAGCCACTGGCACAAAAGGTTTATCTAAAACAAAAAGTATTTCAACATCTTGTTGCCTCTCCTAAAATTGTTCCTTCCTATTCACCCATCAAGTGGGAGACAGCCTTGGACCAGCTGGAGTTAGCTTTGCCTTGCTAAACAGTTACTATTAAAAGCAGCCAACTTGGCAGCTGGTGAGCAGGATCAAAAACTTGTAAATTCTGATGAAAACCCACTGAATGTCTTCCCCCCATGTGGTATCCCTGACTTCTTATATATCTACAAGTGTTACACTGTGAACATAAAACCTCTTCTCGAGAAGCAGCGGCATCGCCCACCTTGTCATAGAGCGTCCAACCAATATACTTGAGGTAGCCATCAGTCAGGAAAGAATTGCTGTAATGCTGGATCCACTGACCCATCTCTTCAATGCAAATGGCACGGATCTCAGGTACAAGGTCCCTTGATGAGCAAACAACGGGGAGAGTGTCATGATGAAAAACATGCCTTCTGATTCTTTCTCTACCCACACATCTTTACCCCAGCTCACCGATAGCGATGAACAAAGACTCCCTTGAAGACAGCATTCATCAAACTCTCAAGCTCCTGCTGCTTCTCCTGGAACTGGGGACACAGGAAAGCAAAAAGCTAGATGCCTGAGTCTCCAAATCCTTTACCTATTTAAGACCTCTACAAGGCCATAAATGTCAACAAAATCAATTAATGCTTACACTTATGTGTGAGCTACATTTCAAAAACATTGAAACCAGCAAAAAATGTTCTCAGAGACCCAGCATTCCTTTGGCAGGGGGGAAACCACCTAACTCCTGTGCACAGCAAAGATGCATACTCTTCTCCAGACACAAGAAATCAATGGAAGAGCCATAGATTAATGGTATTGTTTCTTAAAACAGGCAGCTCTTTACAAAACAGTATCATAATCTGATAACTATCTGAACAACTATTTCACTTCTGTTCTACATATTCATATAAATGATTGATTTTAATAATAATAATTTATTGTCATTGTAAGTATATACAGTATACCCATACAACGAAATTCACAGACACCCAGAGACCAGACACATGCACACACATAAAATTCCCCAAATACTCCCCACCCACTAAAAGTCCCCCACTAAAAATACAAACATCTACACCACAGGCCAAGTAACACAGTCCACTACTGGTGGTCTTTAAGCTCATTATTAATTGCAATTATAGCTCTGGGGTAAAAACTATTGAGAAAACGTGTGGTCCGAGTCTTAATTGTTCTATATCTTCTGCCAGATGGTAACAGTTCAAAAAAGTTATAAGCAGGATGGGAAGAGTCTCTCAGGATGCTGTGTGATTTCCTTAGACAGCGGGATGTGAAGATGTCATCCAGGGTTGGTGGCTGGAGCCCGATGATATTCTGGGCAATTTTAATGGTTCTCTGTAGAGCTTTTTTGTCCACTACAGAGCTACTCCCAAACCATGCCAGAATGCCATAGGTTAGGACACTCTCAACGGTGCTACGATAGTATGACAGAAGTAAATGCTGAGATAAATTTAACTTGCCGAGCATTCTCAGGAAATACAGCCTCTTCTGTGCCTTCTTCATTAGCATGTTGGCATTTATAGTCCATGAGAGGTCCTCTGAGATGTAAGTACCCAGAAATTTAAAACTACCAACTCTCTCCACTTCCTCACCGTTTATGTACAGTGGTAAATGTACATTTCTCTTCCTCCTAAAATCAATTATGAGTTCTTTAGTTTTTTTGATGTTAAGTGTGAGATGATTTTCTTTACAGCAAAGTATCAACCTTTGTACTTCCTTTCTATAAGCAGACTCATTGTTCTTATTTATGAGCCCCACCACTGTCGTATGATCCTCAAATTTAATAATTGCATTGGTGTTATACAGTGGGGTGCAATCATGTGTGTACAGGGAATAGAGGAAGGGACTTAGCACACAGCTCTGGGGAGCTCCTGTACTTAGTACCAGGGTAGAAGAATGGTGAGATCCCATCCTTACTGACTGTGGCCTCTCTGTCAGAAAATCCTTTATCCACATGCAGATCTCCTGAGGTAATCCCAGGTTGATCATTTTAATAAACAACCTATTTGGTAGAATGGTATTAAAAGCAGAGCTATAATCCACAAACAACAGCCTCGCATAAGTTCCCTGTTGTTCTAAGTGGCTCAATACAGTATGGAGTACAATAGACACAGCATCATCAGTAGATCTATTTCTCCTGTATGCAAATTGCCATGGGTCCAAAGAAGGTGGAAGACTAGCCTTAATGTAATCCAGCACCAATCTCTCAAATTTTCTATGTTTACTTAGTGGATTTTCTTCTTGCTACTAAAATAAATCCTAAAATGATAATTAGCAGATTCATAAGAGTGGAAAAAACCATTCAAGTCATCTGACTGAACCCCCTGATCAATGCAGAACATTGGGAGCTAAAGCATCCACTGAGAAAACTATCCAGTGTCTGACTCAAGAGACTGATAAACAATTAAACTTCTCTCCTAGTCTATTTTCTTTAAGAAAGATAAACCATGGTCAATGAAAGAAAAATGGATGAGTCTTTTGTCTAGAAGAGCAGGCAATCCAGAGGAGACAAGGAAAGGTCAAAAGAGTGGAACTGATAATGGGCCTGCTTAACGAGTTGGCCAAGGGAAGTAACCAAACTTAAAGAACATTCGTCCCCCAAGAGGAAAGCCAGCTGGCACCAAAGCAGTGTCTTACAGAGTAAAATGCCTTGGCGCTCTGGTTCTTAGCTTCCCAAAAATATCTGCCTGCCCAGGCAATGTTGGCCCAATGCAGGACTGCTGCCATCCGTCCAAAGGACCCAGCAAGCTTCTGCCTCCCAATTCACCTCCTTGCGCTGCTCCAACAACCCTTCCAGCTTTTCCGGGGCCCTCCGGCTTAGTCCCTTGGCCCGCTCGGCCTCATACTGCCGCTGACAGTTCTCTTTCTGCATGCTGACGCTCAGAGCCACGTGCACGAGGCCAGTCATCAGTTTCATGGCTAGCAGGAAAGAGAGGGAACAGCATGAGCCTTCCTAAAACCCTCAGAGCGAGCCAGGGTCTTGATCTCTCCCTCTTACTGTCCTACCTGCCAAGGTGCTGGTGTGGCGGAAGGCGCGAACTTGAGAGTCAGACATGCCAGTCAGCAGAGCAATGAGACTGTCCATTAAAAACCCATCATAGATGACACCATACTGGGCACGGTGCACAAGAACTGTCATCAGTTCACAGAAACCCATCTGGAACCGTCGCCATGCTGGGGTGCTTAGGGATAGCGGGTACTCAGCTGACTCCTGGGAAGAGGGAAGAGTCAGACAAAGCCACCCGGCTGTCACCAAGAACACTGCTTGGATTTAGTTTCCTTGGGAGTCACTCCCTGCCTCAGTGCTCACCTCATCAAAGGATTCTGTCAGCTGCTGGATGATCTCTGAGTTCTGGAGTCCTCTGAGCATCTCTATGGTCACTACACCTGTCAAAGAGAGGCAGCCAAGTGACAGTCATCCGCCCCAGCCTCCCAGGACTCCACCAGGGCAGCAAGGGAGTTAAGGGATTGGCAGCAAGCATTTGCCAGACCCCCAAAAGGCAGCATGGAAGGTGCCAAGAGGTTCCTCACATCCCCTCCTCTGCCATCGTCCCAACATCCCAAATTAAAAAACAAGCCCTGCCACAAGGGTCTACGTCTATTGTTACACCCAGAACCATTTGCTTCTTAGGCAGATAACATACCCTCCCCCGAAAAGAAGTGAGAAGCAAGGGGAAAACGGGAGGCGCTCAAGGACCACACTGGCTATGCTTTCGATTCCATGGTGACAGCAGGCTGGCCCAAGAGGCCTGACCACACTCCAAACTCACCTCTGCAGCCACAGGAGCGAACAAGAAAGTTGAACAGCTCCAGGAAGCCAGACTCCTGCTCCTTCTTGTAGCTTCCCAGCCAATCGTCAACTACAGCCTGTAGCAATCGGGAGAGGAAAGCGGAAAACAAAAGGACAAGCACACATTCAGGAGTGAAAGGGAACCCAAACCTCTCAGGAACACGAACTCAGTTTTACAGTGTTATCCATGATCAGGTGGGCAAAAAAGGGGGGGGGAATACTGGGGCATTTTAAGGGCCTGTTTCTGCAACAGCTGCCCTAGGGTCACAGTCTCCTTCTCCCAAAGCAAGGGCTGGGGCAGCGCTTGGTTTTCTTCCTGTGGGGTGGACTCGAAGGGAGAGAAGGGTGACCAGCACAAAAGTAGGAGGACCCTCAACGATTCCTCCCAGGCATGGGAAGGGGGCCCTCCAGGCTGACCAGTGCTGGGGGCCAGGGCTTCCACGGAGGAAGCCTGGCAGGCCACCTTTCTCTGGGGAGGCTGACCCTCTCCTCAGCAGCCCCTAGCCAGGGTGAAGGGGTGACGCCATCCCAGGCACAATGAGGCTGAGACTTCTTCTTTTTTTACATTAATTGATAAAAAAAGGAAATTACAAATAACAGAAATAAAACTAAAATACAAATTCAATAGTAACTATGCACAATAAACATTTCCCACCCATGCCACCTTTGCCATCGAGACTAGGTAACCAATATCAATTTGTGCCACTTGTCACCCCATTCTTCTCCAAAAATATATTGACCCTTTTGCTGGCATATAGCTTTTCCCCTTCAAAAGGTCATAATCCAAGTACAAATTCTATGCATCTTTGAAATCATTAGACTTTACCACTCCTCTTCTAATTTTCATTTCGCATGTCAACTTATTAACTGCTAAGCTCCACATTTCTTTATACCAATCTTCAAGATTAATTGGTCACTTTTACTATCCTTTGCAAATATTAATCTTGCTACCATAACAATTATAACAACTCTTTCTGGCCTTTTTCAAGTGATCGTTGTTAGTTATATTCAGGAGGGCAATACAGTGGTGCCTCTCTTAACGATTACCTCGTTAAATGACGAATCCGCTTGACGGTGAGTTTTTTGCAATTGCAAAACGATGTTTCAATGGCCAAAAATCGCTTTGCGATGATCGGTTCCCTGCTTCGGGAACCGATTCTTCACATTATGACGATCTGAAAACAGCTGATCGTCGGGTTTCAAAATGGCCACCTACTATGCAAAATGGCTCCCCACTGTTTTTAGGAGGCATTTTTCGCTTTACAGACCCCGGAAAATGGCCGCCCTATGGAGGATCTTTGCTGGACGATTAGGTATTTAGCCCATTGGAACGCATTGAACCAGTTTACAATGCATTTCAATGGGTTTTTTATTTTCGCTTGATGATTTTGTTCTACAGTGATTTTGCTGGAATGGCTTATCCTCGTCAAGCAAGGCACCACTGTACTTGGCAATATCTGAATACTGTATCTAAAACTGTTTCTAATTTCCTTAAAAACCATGCCCATTCTTTCTTATTTCACAATTCCACCATATGCATATAGGTCCCTTTTACCTTTTTGCATCTCCAGTATTGAGATGCTATATTTTTATTTTATTCAATCTTCCTGGAGTTAAATACCTTCTCCAAGCTACCTTTTAACAATTTTCTTATATCCTTATAGACATTTTCTTCATTATTCTTTATGACCATCATATTCCAGTCTCTTCTTTTGTGTTTAGTCGTTTAGTCGTGTCCGACTCTTCGTGACCCCATGGACCAAAGCACGCCAGGCCCTCCTGTCTTCTACTGCCTCCCGGAGTTGTGTCAGGTTCATGTTGGTTGCTTCGCAGACACTGTCCAGCCATCTCATCCTCGGTCGTCCCCTTCTCCTCTTGCCATCACACCTTCCTAACATCAAGGTTTTTTCCAAGGACTCTTTTCTTCTCATGAGATGGCCAAAGTACTGGAGCCTCAGCTTCAGGATCTGTCCTTCAGGTGAGCATTCAGGGTTGATTTCCTTTAGAACTGATAGGTTTGTTCTCCTGCGAGTCCAGGGGATTCTCAAGAGCCTCCTCCAGCACCACAATTCAAAGGCATCAATTCTTCGGCGGTCTGCTTTCTTTATGGTCCAGCTCTCACTTCCATACATCACGACAGGAGAAACCATAGCTTTGACTATTCGGACTTTTGTTGGCAAGGTGATGTCTCTACTTTTTAAGATGCTGTCAAGATTTGTCATCGCTTTCCTCCCAAGAAGAAGGCGCCTTTTAATTTCAGGGCTGCTGTCTCCATCTGAAGTAATCATGGAGCCCAGGAAGATAAAATTTGACACTGCCTCCATATCTTCCCCTTATATTTCCCCGGAGGTGATGGGACCAGTGGCCATGATCTTAGTTTTTTTGATGTTGAGTTTCAGACCGTTTTTTGCACTCTCCTCTTTCACTCTCATTACAAGGTTCTTTAATTCCTCACTTTCTGCCATCAGAGTGGTATCATCTGCCTATCGGAGGTTGTTGATATTTCTTCCGGCAATCTTAATTCCGGCTTGGGTTTCTTCCAGTCCAGCCTTCCGCATGATGTATTCTGCATATAAGTTAAATAAGCTGGGGGACAATATACAGCCTTGCCGTACTCCTTTCCCAATTTTGAACCACTCAGTTGTTCCATGACCAGTTCTAACTGTTGCTTCCTGTCCCACATATAGGTTTCTCAGGAGACAGATAAAGTGGTCAGGCACTCCCATTTCTTTAAGAACTTGCCATAGTTTGCTGTGGTCCACACAGTCAAAGGCTTTCGCATAGTCAATGAAGCAGAAGTAGATATTTTTCTGGAACTCTCTGGCTTTCTCCATAATCCAGCGCAAGTTAGCAATTTGGTCTCGAGTTCCTCTGTCTCTTCTTTTACCTCTTCTTTAAAATCCTCCTGCCACTGATATTTTATCATTATTTGATCGGATCTTGAATGAGTAACATTTTATAAATTACAGTGGTGCCTCGCTAGACAGTTACCCTGCATGAGTTTTTTCGCTAGACACTGGCTTTTTGTGATCGCTATAGCAATTCGCAAAACAGTGATTCCTATGGGGGAATTTGGCTGGACAATGTTTGGTCCCTGCTTCGCAAACCGATTTTCGCTAGACAACGATTTTGACAGCTCCCTCCGTGCTCGCAAACAGATGTTTTCGGGACCTAAGCTTCGCAAGACAGCGATTTAAACAGTTGATCGGCAGTTCGCAAAGCAGCTTTCCTATGGCTGATCTTCGCTAGACAACGATGATTCTTCCCCATTGGAACGCATTAAACCGGCTTCAATGCATTCCAATTGGGAAATGCTTTTCGCTAGACAATGATTTCGCTAAACAGCGATTTCAGTAGAACATATTATCATTGTCTAGTGAGGCACCACTGTATACTGTTCCGTTTCTTTTACTTCCTTCAATAATCTCCTCAAATTTTGTCAATTTTCAAATCTCTTTTTTTTTCTTGTCCACTCTCTAGTCCAACTTTCCATTTGGAGTATAGTTAACCAAGATATTCACTCTTCCCCAAAAATTTCCTTTAGACTATTTTCAGCTTTTAACATTTTCATTAAGCTCTGTACTGTATTTCCCCTTTCTCTATTAATACTTCTTAAAGTTTATTTTTAAGACTTCTGGGGAAGCTGTGGACCTCCACACTTTCTAATAACGGTGAGATACGTGGGCTCCAGCACAATCATCAGAAAAGGGTTAGTTATTCTCTTGATTTCCTCCACAATTTTTTCGTTAAAGAAGAGGCCCTCCATTCTCTCAGGATACCATGACGTTTCCCGTTCCTTCCATATCTTATAATATCTGGCATATGCCTACATGGGGGCTTCTTTGGGGTCAGAGGTAGGGGTGAGTAGGCAGCCCAACTCTCCGTCCCCCCCCCCGTGCCCGGGTCGGTGGAGGGGGGGGCAAAGAGAGGGGGTGGAAGGGTCTCCTTCACCTGCGTGGCGCTCCGGCCCGAAGCCACCGCCTC